TTTAGGTCGAAAGCGCTTGCAACCTAATAAATTTATGTGGTCGACAGACTTTTAGCTTTTTACTTCCCTTTAATCTACTTCGGACCACTTTGAGATATGGATAATATTTGGAATTTAATTATTATATATATTTTCATCGACTACTTCTAGTACAATAATTTTTTTCTTTGTTCAGCAAATGTAAAGTTTTCAAGTTGATTAAACATTTCATTAAATCGTTGTGTGCCATATTCAGAAACACATGATGATAATTTTGAACATATATATTATAAAAATCTGTTATTCGGGAGTGATTTAATTTTAATAATACATCATATCTTTGATATTCCTCGTCTAATCCTAATTCTAACAACAACGTATAGCTGAAAATTCTCAAATTTGGATCCGATGTTATATTTGGTTTTTATTTTTACACTCTATAGTCCCCATGTTCCCCTCCCTTAAATCCACCACTGATAGTAGTTAGTTCCGTGAAGAAATAGGGGTAATAAAATTTAACAAAATAACACTCTAACAACAAGTTTACAGCTTTCCTGCAAATTAACAACGTTGCAAAATGATTAATTCTCCCAGTTTGTCTCTTCCTAGTTCATACAGTCTTCCGCCGGTGTCGAAAATCGAAAGATTTCCCTGCTAAAAATAACCTTCGTGTGAGAATTTTAGAAATACTGCTAATTTAATCCGACAACGGGACACTATTTCGAGGTTAATTATGCGCTCTGAGAAACTTGAGTTTGCGATGAATGAGGAAAATGGCCTAATTATCTCGTTATGAATCATCCTGAACAGTTGGTCAAACAAATATTGGATTTGGACATATGGTTGCTAGTAGCTATAATGTTCGGTTTTTTTTTTGATAATAATTAAATTTCTGGAATCCCAGAACAAAAATTTTGCACATAATTGTGATTTCCATTTTTAAATTTTTATTTGTTTTTCTTTTTTTACTGGTTTCGTAAAACAGCTGATAAAAATATTTACAAAATTTTTTTTAGAAAGTCTATTAAAGAATTGTGGTTTTCCTTGCATAATTTCACGGTATCTGAAAAAAAATATTTAAAATTACATTACGTGTGGAGTAATGGTGCTCAACAGCGTGCATCATTGCCCCTTTAGACATTAAATGACATTCTGTAATACAGTTAGCAAACTACATAACCTCACAATGTAAAACAAACATCAATAGATGCAAAAGAACACACTTTTCCATAAAATAAATATATCTTATCGATTAAGGAAAAAAAGTGGACTTCAAATGAACAGGGCTCGTTCCGTGCAAAGGTAAACAACTGGTGTGAGTAATGGCGTCAGTAATGCACAGTAGAAAGGAGAGAGCGCAGCACTAGTTAGTGTCACTTAAAAGCCCGCGAAATATGAAATAGTTTGATGCGCACGATTACCCGACGCGCACAATTCCCCCACTCTCCATTATTGTTCTGAATCAAATTTGTTATGTTTTTTAGCCCAGACCTGGATTTTAAATTTTCACTATTCGGTACAATACTGGACAAAGAATACATACAAATTTAATATAAAAAAATATACAGTGTGGTTATAAGTTTTAAATAATTGAAGAAATTTGTAAATGTATCTTGGTTAGGTACAAAAGAGTTTATTTAGAATCACCTCGATCTACCTCTAATATATCAATCACCCTGTTTAGAAAGTTCAAAAAACAAACATGACACAGTAATTCAACAAATTCATGATTCTTTGTAGTAGCAATGCAATTTTTCCACACGAGTACTCGGCGTAGTGTCAAAAAAATCTCGAACATAAATTCCTAACCGAAAAAATCGCTAGGAATTTGGCGCTGGCAACTATTTTTCGAGTCGCTTTAGATTTCTATTATTCTTTTAGTATTTTTGTGACATGTGGCGCCTCTAAAACATTTAAAATCGAATTTGTTTTTGTACTCCTCTCAAAACCGTTTGAATTGTGTATGCTTGATTTTCTATATATGTGACACCATGCGAATCATTTTAAAATACATGAAGTTAAAAATAAATTCATACTTCGATGATTAAATCTATTTATAGAACAAAATAGTTTTGATATTAAATTAAAATGCAGTGGGGAAAAAGAAATTAATATAAATTTTGTACAAGAAATAACTATAAAGAAAAGGTAAATGTCTAAAATTAATTTCTGATAGTAATTCTAAATATTTAGCGAAATTCAAAAATAAAAAATTCACAATGCAGTATTACAATGTCGGTCCATGTGAGCGTCAACAAACAATACACTAAACAATAACAAGCACCAAACAACTTGAACAAACCACGAAAGAATTCATAAATGTCGTATAAAAAGTTAAAAACGACACGACAACAGTAAATACAACGACACAACATATCGATAAGCTGCCATCCGAAATCTTAGAACTAATATTCAACAAAAATCACATACAAAAAAAGGTTGCATCTTAACAAAAGAGTTGAGGACAGGGTTGGGCTCATGAACATCGCGAAACACATCGATTTAACCATAAATGAACATCGAAACAATAATTGGCAAGAAACCCTGTCCGAAATTAACTTGAAGGACAACTCACTGTGGAAAGTAGTGAAGAGGTATATTCGTTACTTCCCACATTGATACAAGGACAAGAAACACACACGAAAGCTCAAGCCTTCGGTGAGCACTTTCAATTGAATTTCCGCAACAGTTCAGTCAACAAAGAGTCATCGAAGGCATTGTCAGACACCTGGAAGAGTCTGACCCAGTCCACGTACCCCACTTCTTTATGACCTGTCCTAGAGATGTAGGGAACACAATTAAACGTTTCAAAAATAGAGAAGCTCCGGGTCCCGATGACATTAGTAACGTTTTACTTAAAAACATCCCAAAAAAGAAGATTGTACAACTCTATTATGTAATAAACGCAATATTCAGGCTGAAGATCGCAAATATCATACCAATTTTAAAAGCGGGAAAAAATTCCAATCAATTGACAGCTACCGACCCATCTCGCTGTTAAATACAATATCTTAAATAGTAGACACAATTATATTAAACAGACATAGAAAAACATAGGAACAATTACGACTTATCCTATAGGAACAATACGGTTTCAGAAGCGGCCACAATACCGTGGCCCAAGTCATTAGAATCGAGTATAGCGCCAAGGAGCCGTGTAATAATGACCTTTGTAGCGCTTGACAGCAAAAAAGATTTTAATACCGTGTGTACCTGCGGGTTAATTTACAAAATGCCTGTGAATGATTTTCCCGTTTACATTGTTAAAATAATTTAGTCATACATAACATAAAAATGAACAACACAACAAAGACCTTACACTGTGCTAGCGGGAGTACCCCAGGGGTCAGTACTGTTGCCCCACTTGTACACCATTATAACCCATGACTTGCCAATGGGTGATAATACAATCAGCACTGTACACCGACGCCATCTGTCTATTCAAGAGCTATAGATCCATGGAAACAGCAGTAAGTGAACTGGATGGCCATATAAACGAGACGTAAATCCCCTATTTAGCTGAAAACAAAATGAAAATTAATGCAGCCAAAAGTGAAGGTTTGTTAATTACTAAACACAGGACACAAAGCATTTTAACACCGCTTTTAATATAAAATCAGCAAATCACCAAAGACAACACAGGCAACAAGTGTTGAAATACCTTGGTTTTCAGCTGGATAGCAATAAAAACGTTATTCCCATTATTGAACAAAAGGAGCCGAGTCACGCTGTCAAGTAAGCTATTAACTTTTAAAACCATTCTTAGACTCATCTTAACATATGGCTGTCCAGTTTCCTGTTCGATGGCAAATAGTCATTATAATACATTGCAAATCGTACAAAATAGATGTCTATGAGTACAGCAGGGCTATGGCCGCTATGAACGACATGTACGCCCAGACATATATCCCTTTAATCAAAGACTTGATAATCAAGACAGCTGAAAACACTTTCCCATTCCCGATCCAAAACCCATCATAATCCTTCATTGATACCGCATTGGTAAAAAGGCGAACATGTTCGCCATAGTCCAGTTGACCCACACGAAAAGTCTTGTAGACTCGGTAGTGCCGATTTATTTAATTTAACTGTAATATGTAAATAAATATTTGTAATCTAAATTTAACAATGTGGGGGCGTAGATTAGCGAACCGTTTTTATGAACACTATATTAATAAATACAAAGATAGTGATACCTCCAACACTCTATCATCTAGAATCCCAACAGCCGGCAGCTCAAGTTCCTGGTTATCAACAAACATGTGTTCAACAATATTTTATTTTTACATTCAGTTTGATATTAGATTATATAAAATAAAGTCATCCTAATCTCTTAATCAAGAGCCTACAGGCCATGTTGGCAAGAGTACAACAAGATCACGACAAATTCCCTTTATGGAGAATTGAGGGTACAGATCTTTTCAACAAGGCAAATTTGAGGTTCTTAGATCTTACCCAATATCACCAAGAGTGGTTAATGGTAGTACCCAAAGGACAACGCAAGGATTTGATAAAAAAACATCATGATCCACTCTAAAGTGGCCACATGGGTATTTTTAAAACCTTGAGCCGAATATCCTCATCCTTTTACTGGCCCAAGATGAAACACGATGAAGCTCGCTATTTTTCTTTATTGTATATATTTTTGTTTAAAACTTTTAATATTTAAGTATAGAATGTTTCTGAGCTAAGTTGGTTTATGAATTACTTTTTCCTTAAAGTATTTTCACCTTTAGAAGGGAAAACACTTCTCTTAGGTAAGAATCATTAAAATTGTACTTCTGTTTGAATAAAAATAACTTTTTTAAGCGATTTATTTTATTTTTAGCATTGTGTCCTTTACCTTAATGAACAATTAGGTACAGACCGGGGAGAATCATATCATTCTTATATAACGTCGTTATTACTGTTATTTTCTCTTAATATTATCCAAAGACATTACAACATAATGTCTTTAATATTATCATATTATAAAATTAATTTTCATACGTATTAAATATGTCAAAATTTTCTTCTTACAGAAAACAACACTACTGGCGGTCTAGTCTTTGGCATTTCCCTATCGCAGTGCGTGGAAAACGACAGGGTGACTCGATCGGCTTCAGGAACAAGTCCCTTCCGGAGCAGGGGAGAACTTTCCGGTTCCGGTGACGAGCCCGCCAAAATGGGCAGACATGGATCTAGATCGAGTTTCAGTTCACTTATAGATGCTCCCAGAAACGATGAAGTAAGAAATTTATAAATTTAAATCTGTATAATAAAATCTAGACAGGAAAAATCGAAAACTTTGTGTAGTAATACTGACACTGTCATAGTTGTTATTTTTCTTTGCTAACGGCCCACCAGAAAATGTAACGTTGCTAAGTCGCTTTTAGATATTTTAAACATTTTCATTGGTGACTCTCGTATCTACTTACAAATTTTAAACAATGAGTATCTGTTTGGGCTATAAGACAAGGCCACTAAAAAGAAGAAGATGCAAGCCAAACATCATCACATAAAACATAAAATTAATGAATAGGTGGAAAGGATGATTTAATGGTTAAAGTCTGGACTTCCGAAACAAAGGGCTGGGTTTCGAATCCCAAAGTTGGTAGGAATTTTCTCTAATTAATGTATTTATTCGCATTTTCATTTTCAAAACAGGAAAAGGACATTTAACCACAAGAAGGTGATAGTTATGTTAAGAAATAAAACTTGGAGTTGTATTTAAAGTGTGCAAGTTGGGATTATATTAATATAATTCAGTCATTAATTATTAAAGAAAAAAATATTAACAATTCAAAAGTTACTTATTACAAACAGAAGGTGAAACAATGATTACATCATTAAGAAAAGGTAATAGATATCCATCACAAAAATCAACCACTTAAGTAGAAGTAGTTAGAGTTACTAAACCAATTAAGAAGATCTTTCTCCTGTTTAATCAAAGGGCTCGTATGCCAGCTAATGCGTTCATTAATTCCATCGATCTTATATAGCTCGACCCATTTTGAATCGAAGGAGCTGTTATATATTGACAAAATGAACTTTGAATCAGGAAGGTGCATCTTATAGATATATTATAAGAGAAGCCAGTATCAAAATATTTGAAAGTTTGTTCCCAGCGTTTTAAAGAAGATGTTTATTTGCCTAGAGGTAATATATATTTACTTTTCGATTGGATGTTTTAATTTTACCTTCTGTTATTATTTTTATTATTAGAGTTAAATGTTTTTAGTACGCAGATGATACTAAACTATTAAGTTACCCATCTCTGAACTTACAACAGCTTCAAGATGACCTTGACTCCATCTTTAACTGGTGCTCAGATTGGATGTTACTTTTTAAACAGTCACACGTACTTCCAACAGCTTCAAGATTTAAGACTCCATCTTTAACTGGTGCACAGATTAGGTGTTACTTTCTAAACGGTCAAACGTTAAATTAAATTTTGCGATGATCTTGGTGTTATAATTACTAAAAATCTCAGCTGGTCTGGACTCATTCTACCAGTGTCAAAAAAAGCGAATACATAAATGTACCTAATAACGAAGACATTCGCAAAAGTGTATTTTCAAAATTATATATAGATTTGTGTTGTGTCAGGAACTAGTTCGGGATAAAAATATTATTGAAAATGTACAGTGTCGGTCAACCAGACAATTTTTTGGGCGTATGAGTCCTAATTACACATATATACTATATATAGCTGAACTGTAATAAGATAATTTGTTTTCGTATTTTAGAACGTAATTTTGTAAACTTGAAATGAATATTTATTAAAATATATCGTTGCTTTTTTAAGCCCTATTATTGCATTTAGGGAAAATATTTTTCATCATAAATGTTGGCAGCAAAACCGAGATTTATAGTTTGTTTGGAAAATCTCGAATAACATGGGTATTCTATTAATAAAAATAATTTTTCAACAAGGTAAACGCCTTGACTGCTTTATTTTTTTTTTTGTGGGACCTACAAATATATTAGTCTGTACGCTTCATTTACGTTACTGATAATAGCACCCACTTGTTTGAGGTGTACCTACACTCCAGAAAAATCAGCAAGGTCGTGTGTAATATTAGAAAATTTGTTTTATATTTAAATTGAGGTTTCTAATTTAAGAATTTGGATTGACACAAATTATACCTAAAAAAATTAACTCAGTTAAGCAATAAACATACACATTACTATTTGGTACGAGGAAAAACGTTTTTTAAAATAATAATAACAATTATCCACATACATACAAATTAAATAAAAATTTACTTTAAATAACTTGAATTAGAATTTTTTGTTATAAAAAAATTCCAAAATGTTTAAATTGCTATATTATTTTTCTGTTTTCCTAAATTATATAATAAGGATCAATATAATTAAAAAAAAAATCAATTCAAAGGCCCACTGACTGAACGAGGGGTCCACTGATTAAACGAGGGCCCACTGCTTGTCGTTGGACCGGCAGACTGACAGTCCAATCCGACATTTGAAGTCAATAGGATCAATATACAGCGAAGATCAGCTGTAAAAACATTAAGAAAATTGTATGACCCAATATTGACCAAAACAGTGTCATTTGAAGAGGTAATAGAGCTGTTTGCATGTCAGTACAAATTAAGAAAAAGACTCTTATTCGATAATCTAAAGCAAGGTGATGAATCTATTGAGAAATGGTACGTTAAAGTGAAACAATTAGGAGCACCTTGTAAGTTTAATATTTCTTTAACAGAAAGGGTAAAAGATAAATTTGTAACAAAAATAGGTCAATTCTTGATTGTCTATTTGAAAAAACAGACACCAAGTCTCTGACTTCTGTATGAAATTACCCTCAGTTTTGAAAAGAATCAAGGAAAGTGAAGGTAAATAAAATCCAAAAAGTTTATAAAAAGCTTTATAAAAAAGAGGTGACAAGTAAAATGATGAAGAGACCAAATACTTCTAGTAATTTCAGATGTTTTGTCTAAAACGAATCTGGTCATAGTTTTCCAAGGTGTAAGTTCAAGAAGTATACCTGTAGAAATTATAAAAAAAATGGGCTATATTGCTGAGGCATGCAAAGAGAGGGTTCATTTTGTCGAAGAAAAGTTGAATATAATAGAAATGTTCAGTTTATTAAGAATGAAGCTGAATGGCCAGTAATTATTTCAAATTAAAGTGGATACAGGAACTGGAGTAGGCTTTATTCCTTGGATATTTATCAAAAGTGTTTTAAAGGCATGCCATGGTCAGATACCACTATTAAATTAAAAAAGTATAATGTATCTATTATTACACCTAGTGGTAAACTACAGGTAGTAGAAAAAAGAATGTAGGTTGTTATTGGGTAGAGGGATTTGTTAAAGATATTAAATAAAGATTTTTCAAAGGTATTTGAGGGTAAAGAAACTGATAGTATTTAGTTTAATACTCAAGTAGAGTCTAAGGTACATAATTTATTAGGAGACTTCAGTGATCTATTTGTGCTTGTTTGTCTCATGTAGAAGCAGATGTAAATCAAAAACCTATTTGCTATAATCAAAAGTGTTAAACAAGACTGAGCAAAATTTCTCACGAAAAAGGATTAAGTGTTGTTTGGTCAGTCCAAAAACTTTAGCTGGTAGGCATTTTGAAATAGTTTCAGACCATAAATCCTTAGTAACTCTATTTGAAAATAGAAGTTTACCACAAATAACTGTTGGTAGAGTTCAACGTTGGTCATTATTTTTGATAAATTTTAATTAAATACACTTTCAAATATATTAAAAATTCTGAAAATTAAAGAGAAGATGCATTATCGAAGTTGCCTGTGACTAGAACAGTTAAAATGAAAGAAGATTGTGATTATCTACATTTTATTGAAAATTTAAATGTTATAGATATAAATAAGGTTAGGTGTAAGACTCGAAAGGATGTAATTTTAGGAAAGGTATAAAATTTAATAATAATAATAATAATAATATAATAATAACGTTTATTTGTAGAATGATACTGATAAATAGAAAAAAATTACATATTAAAAATTAAAATAAAATCATGCTACAAAAAAGAGACAGCAGACAGCAGAGCTGATACAAAGTGCTATCCCTTAAATTATTTTTATAAATTAATATCGCATTGTATACTACTTAATTTAATTAAATACAATTAAATATAATTAACTTTAATTAAACACAATTAAACATAATTGAACATAATTAAATATTCTTAAATACCTGTACGTAAGTAATTATTATATTTTTCCCTAAATATAAGATGCTTTAGATGCGAAGGAACCTGGTTGTAAAGTTTAAAGACCATATAAGAAAACGATGCCTGGAACTTTGAGGTCCGATAGTGAGGAGGTGAGATATACCCCCTAAATCTAGTATGCACATTGTGTACATCGCTGCGAAATGTAATTTTATTATATAAATAGGGTGGCGATTTAAATATTATTATTTTATGAAAAAGTGTTACCATATGAAGATGCCTTCTACTTTCCATATTTAACCAATTAGCTTCCTTTAATTTATAACTGATTCTTTCGTATTTTCTAATACCGTATATGTAACGAAGACAAGAATTTTGAGCTCTTTGAATTCGATTGGCATCTAAATTATCTATGCAAGGACCGTAAATGGCATCACAATAATTAAAATGACTTAGAACCATAGTATCACACAATAAAATTTTTGTTTTTTGATCTAGTATATGACGATGTGGAAAAACATTTTTAAATTTGCGTATGCTTTTCTTATACAGTTATAGGTACAGAAAGGATCTGTAAACCTTAATTACTTATATGAATAAGTATTGTAATAAACTTTTTATTAAATATAAACGCAGAGGATTGTTTTCAATAAATTCATTAACTTATACAACTTTAATCATTCACAAAATAAAGAAAAGGTTAGTAGGTGTAACTACACACAGATTGATAAAGAAAAACGAAGGAAAGGTAGGTCTTTTCAAGTGTGGAAATTTTATTAGTACTCGTCAAGATTATTACATTATAAATGTGAAAATAGAACAAATTATTATCAATCATTCCATTCTTGTTTGCATTTATAATATACGGATGATGTCTAAACAGCCGAACTGCTAATTCTAATATAATGTACACACATACATATTTAAAAAATTGGAAATACCTTTATTCTTTTCTTTTCTTTATCTACAAAATAATATAAAATTATATAACAGCAATTATTTTTTATTATTTTATTTCTACATCGCCTAATTCTACTTTTGATATCTAAATGCGCTAGTTCAGTGTGATGTCATTTTGGT